GAGGGAGGGAGACGCAAGAGGGAAGAGATATGGGAACATATGTATATATATAACTGATTCACTTTGTTATAAAGCAGAAACTAACACACCATTGTAAAGCAATTATACTTCAATAAAGATGTAAAAAAAAAACAAAAAACAGCACAGAATTTACAGCCCATTTATTAGCATGATCAAACCCAGGGATAGAGGAACTGGGATTGATAAATCTTCCCTAATAAACACCAAGCCTACAGAGTGGGTTCCTGGGCGCCAATCATGCCGCTCAGATGACAAGCAGCCCTTGAGAAGACTCAGTCTTTCCTCCCTGGGTCTAGCCAAGCACCTCAATTAACCATGAGAGATGATCTTGGATACATGTTCCTGTTGGCTTCCGAGTGAGCCAAAGGAATTAAGAAAGAGAAAAGCAAAATACTGCAATTCACTTAATGCACCCTCTTAGCTTGAAATTAACTGAATTCTTAATGTGAAGTTATTTTCAAAGAGGCTGTGGACCAAAGGAGAAAGCACACAGAACGCCACGTCACTAATTTCCCACCTTTGACGCCAAGTCGGGATGCTCTTGGGGCACAGGCCCTCTCCGAGAGGACAGAGAAACCAGCGGGACCTCCTTGGTACCACTTTCTAACTGCTTCTGGCCTGCACCCTTCATTTCCTTTAAGTGCCCACTCCAGGTGGGCAATGTGGTCCCAACAGTACATCCCACAGAGCAGCTCCTCCATAACAAGGACTCGGTCTACATGCCATTTTCTTCCCATTGCTGATGGGGTGGGCGCAGGGCCCTGCATCTTACCAGCTGACCTCCACTACGGCTCACTTCCTAATGATCCATGATTCCTGAGATCCACTCATGGAAGAAGAGGCTTTTACTTCTACCATCAAGTGCTCTGTCTCCCTGGGTCAGATGTGGCTACTTAACATAGAAAGTAAAACATCCTTGCAGACAGCATTTCCTGCCCTGCTGCAGGTGGCTGCTTTTATTTTCTTAAATAGACATATAAATAAACAAGTTTGAATGGTGCATTTTACTCATTTCTCTAAGTAATGTAAAAACAAAGCCTTAATACACTCCCTATCCACGAGCATAAGCTTTCCTCACCTTGGTCTAAAAATACCAACACTTCTAATACATTCTCTGATTAGACTAATATAAAACTGATTTATATTTTCAGAAGTTAGAAGATGCATCAAAACAGGAAATGAAAAATAAAGGGCATACCTGATAAAAGTTAGGCCAGAAAGTACTGATGGCCAGCTCTGCCCTGTTCCATGTACGGTTTGGGTCTCCAGATATATTCCAAATAGGGTTCCCCAAAGGTCCGTTATTGACCTTCACGTAGACATTGAGTAACCCGGGAGCAGAATTACTCTTGCTGGATACAAAGTAGTGAAAATCAATGCAGTGGGTGTCATTTTCTTTGAGCTGAGGTAAGAGGAGGTGGGCTCTCTGTCCCTCAGATCTCCCAGACGTGTTCACCAACATGAAGGAGCCTGTGAAAAGAAAATCAAAGGATGGTCACAACCGGAAACACTACTTCCTGCTCGTACCTGAAAAGTCACCATCATTTCCATGGGTCGACACTGCAGTTTCACACATCTGACCTTAGCTTTGAAAGTCCCATCTCTTTCACACCTTTTCATCCCCAAAGTGCTCTCAAGGTCAGTGGGGATGGCAAATTCCCTTGATGTCACTGCAATTAGTTTCCTAAATAATAGGTATGTGCATGGTTTGCAGATCTGCACTGGTCGATCTGGTGGTCACTAGCCACATGGAGTTTTTTTTTTTAATTAATTAAAATTCTATAATATTGAGTCATATTTTAGATTCCACATATAAGTGATATCACATGGTATTTGTCTTTGTCTTTCTGACTTACTTCACTTAGTATGATAATCTCTAGGTCCATCCATGTAGCTTCAAATGCCATTATTTTGTTCTTTTTTATGGCTGAGTAATATTCCATTGTGTGAGTGTGTGTGTGTGTGTTGTGTGTGTGTGTGTATATAGATAAAATATATTATTATATATACATCACATCTTCTTTATTCATCTGTCAATGGACATTTAGGTTGTTTTCATGTCTTGGCTATTGTGAATAGTGCTACTATGAACATAGGGGTGCATGTATTTTTTGAATTATAGTTTTGTCCGGATATATGCCCAGGAGTGGAACTGCTGGAGCATATGGAGGAGGGTTGGACTGGGAACTTCGGGTTGGTAGGTGAAAATTATTACATATGGAATGGATAACAACAAAGTCCTACTGTATAGCACAGGGAACTATATTCAAAATCCTGAGATAAACCATCATGGAAAAGAATATGAAAAAGAATATACATATGGATAACTGAGCCACTTTGCTGTATAGCAGAAATTAACACAACGCTGTAAATCAACTAGACTTCAATTTAAAAAAAAGAGATGAATTAAAAAAAATTCAGCACCTGGACAAAAAAAAAAAGTTCTGTAATACTGAAAGTGTAGGTCCTCAGCCCCAGGAACCACATTTCAAGCGCTCAACAGCCACATGGGGCCAGTTGCTACCATACTGGGCTGCACAGATATTGAACTTTTCCATCATCTCTAAACAACACTGTTCTACAATGGTACCACCACTGAGTAATCACAGACACTCTGAGATTCTCATATAATCTAGAGAAAGGGAACAGATTGTTCTGGTTTGTGGAATCTTAGAAAATTGGCCTGATGATACTCCTTGTCATCAATATAACATGATTTTCTTGCAGCTCAGCACCCATCCCCCCAACTACTGTCACAACTGGCTTCTCCTCGACTAGGGGCGTTCTCATAATGGGGGGATGACGGAGTTTACCGATCAATGGCTGTGCCCATGGGGGACAGTTGTTCACAGAAGTCTCTGTGAGCTCCTTGTTTTCAACTTTTCATCCAGGGCACTAACCCACCCATGAGTACTGAAGAGTTTCCAGATGGATTCAAGCTTCCCAGATACCCTGACCTTGGGAAAGGTCACTTGGACTTTCTCCATGCCTAAGATCACCAGAAATAGCAACTAAAATAAATATATGAATTTTATATATCACACAAAGAAAGGTAAATCAAAATGTTCTAAGATGAACGGGAAAACAGGTCATCACAAGCCTTCTTTAGCAGAGAGGAAAACATGTATGGAAATTCTGAGGGGGAAGTACAACTAAATTTGGAAAATAAAGATAAAAAAAACACTACTCAGGGTGGTTGGACTCATGGTTTCTACGGCATGAAGAGACTATTACCCTCAGTTGAGTATTCCTTTAAAAACGTCCCTCACTGAACCATAATTTTCAAGGAGGTGTGTGTATGCACGTTTGCGGGTATATATATTTTAGTAAACACCCACACGTATCTATAAAGATACATACACAATCTTAGAAAAAGTGTGGAAATTTTCTCTCATCCACAAGCTGTGATTCCCTAAACAGCAAAATGAGAAGACTACTTTTCCCACGGAATTATCAGGAGGACTAAATAAAAAGCAGGAATGTAGATATATCCTTTATAAATTAATAGACTATTGTTAAAGGGTCAATATTACAAAATGTTTGCTTCTGGTTATTACCTCTCAGGGCCCCTTCATGAGATGAGCTAGTGTTAATGCCATGTAAGAAAAATAGGAACTGAGTCACAGAGAGATGAGGACGCATCTTAGCCAGGCTTTAGGATGAGTCAGTGGCGAAATCAGAACTTGGGGCCTCTGGGTTTCCAGCCCATTACTCATCCTGCTACCCTCCAATAACTCCACATTTCTTCATGCGCCATTTGAGCACATATGGAGAAAACAAACCCTTTCATGACAGTGAAGGAAAATTATGGGAGCTCTCTGAAAATACAGCAATTTTTCAAGAGATGAATGTTACGCACCTGGAAATATGAAAGTCAAGCCACAAGGGAAGGGTTATTGCGGAACATATATTTCAGTAATAAAGAAGAACGGCAAATGTGATTTAAGAAAGAGTTGGGGACAGAGAGAGGGATTTTGTGACAAGAGAATACCACTGCAGTGATTTGGGTTAGCTATGCTCTACAAAATGTGAAAAAAAAAGCTCTTCAAAATACACAGGGTCGACCAACCCCATCACAAATTGAAAGAGGGCAGTTGGTGTTTATGAGTTAAAAATCGTACTTTGTCGCTCTTAGTAAAATATAAGCGTATTTATTCCAAATTCAATCATTTGGGGCTCTGGCATCTGCAACATAGTTGCAATGTAGAATATTCCCTGATGGGGCTAAGGCATGAGTCGGCCTTGAAGCCAACTCTGAATCACCAAAAGCTTTAGTATTGTCACTCTGCCGAGAATATTACTTCTTGGAGTGTTTCCATCACTTAAACTTGGGCGACCAGAGATGGTAAATAAGGCAACATGCATAGGAGAGCAAAAGTAGGTTTCCTGCATCCTGGAAAGTCTAGTTTGGATGACTGGATGAAGAGTCTCTTTTCACACGTTGGTATAAACCAGGTAACATCCTACCATAGTTGTTCGGGAAATCACTGGGTTTCCCTAAAATACTATTTTCCCCAACTACACAGCCTATCCTTCAATATTTACTCATTAAGCTTCATTCTAGGACAAAATACCAATTTTTATCTTGAGGTCAAGGTGAAACTCAGGTATTTTAAGTTGCAAACACTCAAATGATCCTGATTTTTATGCTTTCTCCTTTTTTCCCCCCTTTTGAACCAGAATACAGTCTATCCCGTTACAAGGCATGTTGCTGCAATGCAGATTAGCTAACAGGATTAGCAAATAGGGGAGTGACATCCATATAACACTAGAGTCCCTTCAGACCACATGCAATTTTTTGCAGGACATTAATGTTGTAGAGCAATCAAGGCAAATTTTCTCTCCAATAAAGGGCTACGTGATGGCCTTTCGACAAAGGTGAAACTCCTGCAGAAGGGCCTTCGCTTAGGGTCAAAAGTGGCAAGAAGTTTAGTGGCTCTACAGAGCCATTCCTCTTCCCGCTCTGTGAGGTTGTCTGGGAAACTGCAAGACCAGATGAAGAAGCTGTGAAGCTTCTGCTCCCCTCCTGAGATTAGAGAGGAAAGCACACTGACTGATGGAGACGATGAACCCAGATCGTCTATTTCAGCTAGCAGAGAGTGGTCTCTATCAGAAGGGAATGACTGGCTCCGAGGTCCCCTCTGGTGAGAAGGAGGATGTGGAAGCCCTCAGGCACAGGGCTAAGGATGGACTCACAGGGATTCTAAGTGCCAGGCGGAAGTTAATGAGGCCAGGATTTTTATTAGGGCTGTGACTGTTTCACTGGTTCTCTGGCTACAAAGCTGTGTAGACTTTGAATAGTCAGCTCCAGTTTTCTTACAAGATCTAGCATTTTCGGTGCATGGTTTTGTTGCAATAGTCAAAGGGTTTCCAAGGACAGGTGTGTGGAGCTGGTCGAAACACCTGCTCTACCTGAACCGTCTTCCTACCTCACCGGTTCTTCCCTCTGGAAGCAGCTCCATCTAGACTGTCCCCTCGGTCACAGGCAAAGGTCCTGCTTCTAAACAGTCCAGAAACCAATGAGCAACTCGTCAACACACAGTATTCTTTTTACTGAGGTACAGCTGCTGTACCATATTATACAAGTTACAGGTGTACAATACAGTGATTCACAACTTCTAAAGGTTATACTCCATTTATAGTTATTGTAAAATATTGGCTCTATTCCCTGTGTTGTACAATATATCCTTGTAGCTTATTTTATACCTTATAGTTTATATCTCTTAATTCCATCCCCTCCTTTCACTTCCCTCTTTCCCCCTCCCCCTGGTAATCACCAGTTTATTTTCTGTATCTGTGAGTCTTGCTTCTTTTTTGTTATATTCACTAGTCTGTTGTACTTTTTAGATTCCACATATAAGTGACATCAACAGTATTTGTCTTTCTCTAATGCACACTATATTTTAGAGAAAAAGTCTCTCTTTACTGAGCACCTGTTCCCTGGGGTATAGTCCCCTGAGAAGTGTCGCTCAGCTGGTATTTCTGTGTAGCTGCACAATGAACGATTAATGCATATACAGGCATTTAGGACAGTGTTTGCCATATAGCACAGGCTCAAAAATTATTGGTGATTATCATTACGATTACTATGTTGCTTCATACCTCCTAATGCCTGCTTCTCTAAATTACCTGTAATTCTTCAGCATTTAGCCCTATATATTTATTTCTGCCTGCTTGTCCACAACCCTCCTGGTCCTATCCATTTTCACCTAAAATGGTAATGTTTAAGTTCCCTTTCTTCATGGGAGAGGAACATTAGTACTGAAGTTTTACAAAACCTTCAACTCGATCCATCTTGCCCCTACATTTAAGCTTTGGGAAGGAGATCTTCACTTCTGCGTGTGGTCACGAGGACTTATCACAAGGTTTGAAGTACAGAAGATGATATGTCAGCCGGCACTCGTACTCCTGGCAGTGCTGCACTATTGTCCTATGCTGAATGTACAGAAGAAAGTGGGAACATTTATGTT